CCGCGATTACCAAAAACGAGGCCGATAAGCAATCCTTAGTAGTGTCAGTGTGTATTTTCTGTGGTATTATCCTTGCAATTCAACGACTTGTCAAAACATAAATTCAATATGGCGGCAACGGTCAAACAAACACCTGAGTTCGCAGATGCGAAAGATTTTTTTACACGTAACTTCAAATTGATTTTATACAAGGTAAACACGTGACCGCTGTCAACATTTTAATCTTTTTGTTCTTGGAGCTATTTTCTGAACCCGGCTATTGTTGATTTTGGGAGTGTGTTTGTTTGTGTTTTTATTTTCGTTTTCAAAAAAATTACCTAACAATAGCGCAATCCAACAACCTGTCAAAACATAATTTCAATATGGCGGCAACGGTCAGTCAAACGTCTGCGATGTGCGTTTTGTGTTTGAATTTGTTTTTTGCTTATACACTACGAAAATACGGAAATTTTCCTTCTCAAGCAATAGAAAATCCAACTCCACAAATTACACAGAGAATAGTTTTTTGATAACAAAACGTCACCGTTGCCTGAGGGAAAATGAAATCCTTGACGCTTATTTCATTGCTTGACCATGGCCGCCATATGGATTGGATTGCCCCTTACAATGAACTATAAGGTCTGTTTCTGCAGAAATCACAAACCAGTCGGAGTGAATTTCATTGGTTGAAACTAGTTTTCTGACTGTTTTCAACCAATGAAATTCGCTCTGACTGGTTTGTGATTTCTGCAGAAACAGACCTATAAACTACACGTTCCTGGAATGGAACCGACCATTGTCGGATATAGCGTTTGTTTCTCTCTATGTGTCCAAAAATAGCTACATAGTGGGGGACACCTTTCTCTATCTAGTTCCATTGAATTTTCCACTTTTCCAAGGCTTCTTCAATCGGAAAAAGACTGTTTTGAATGCAGGGCTTTAAATTTGCTTCAATTTTTCACCATAAATTTCTATTTTTAGACTAAAATAGTATCCTACTTTATCTCTCTCTTTGTCATACTCATTACCAAATTATTAGTCGGCCATTTTGAAATGTCGTGTTTACATTTTTATCCAGGTTTTCTTCGAATTTTCCACTTTATCAGGGTTTTTTTAGTCGAAAAAACTGGTTTAAATTACGAGGCTTCGAGTTTTCTCCATTTTCTGCTAGAAATTTCCAGTTTTAGATCCATTTATTTAGGGTTAAAAGTTAAGTGAAAAAAATTATTGAAAAGCAAGTTTTTGAGGACTTATTTAAGGAATTTCTAATTTTGAAATCGTTAATAATTAATTATTTAACGGGTTTTTAATTATTAAATTACAAAGTAGAATCCCATTTTAAATTATTTTTTTGGAAGTTTTGTGATGTGGCAACATTGCTTGTAGCCAACTTCAAGTAGACCTTGTAATAAATGTCATTTGCCATTTTTGATAGTCGGCCATTTTCAATTGACGAGTTTACATTTTTGTCCAGTTTTTCCTCAAATTTTCCGCTTTTGCAGGCCGTTTTCTATCGGGAAAACCGTTTTAAAATTTGAGGCTTTGAGTTTTCTCCATTTTCCATCAAAAATTTCCAGTTTTCCAATGGAGTAAGTGACCAAAACTTTGATTTTTCAAGTAGGCTTTGGAATGTTGGTTTTCCATTAAATTTTCTACTTTTCCAGGGATTTTTCAATTAGAAAAAGATGATTTTAAAGACGGGGCGCTTTGAATTTACTTCATTTTTCCACCAAAAACTTCGATTTTTAGACTTTAATTGTTTCCTACTTCATCTCCCTCTTTGTCTTTCTTACTATTAAGCAGGCCTTGGAATGTTATTTTTATTGAAATTTATTAAAAATAAGATTCCAATGCATCATTTTCGGAATTTATCATTTTATAAACATTATTAATTAATTATTTAAACAAAAAACTATTTTAAATGTAATTTTTTCCTATTTGAAATGTTGCAACGTCGCACAATGTCATTTCCCAGTTTTGACAGTCGGTCATTTTTGAATGTTTTTATCCAGTTCTTCCTCAAATTTTCCACTTTTCCAGGCTGTTTTCAATTGGAAAAACCGATTGAGAAGACGATGCTTTGAATTTCCTTCATTTTTTGCTAAAAATTTCCAGTATTCCAATGAGGTAAGTGACAAAAACTCAAGTTTTATTAAGTAGACTCTGGATTGTCATTTTTACGGGATTTTCTTTGGATTTTCCGCTTTTCCCTTGCTTCTTCGCTCGAGAAAACCGATTTTAAGTACGAAGCTTTGAGTTTTCTTCATTTTCATCCAAAAATTTCTAGTTTTAAATACTAAAATTAAGGGTAGATAAGGTTTTTCTGCCTTTTTTAAAAAAAGTGAGCACTTGAATTACATCCTACTTTATTTCTTTCCTTGTCCTACTCACTCAGAGGGTTTTAGAGCTACTTTGCACTTAAAAAACACTAAATTTAGCTGAAAAAACGAGGCTCCGAATCAAAAAAAGGGGGCTCTCAAAACAAAAAATAAACAAACGCCATTTTGAATTAATTGTCAAAAATTACAAGGCCTACTTTGAGTTTGATATGTCAAATTTTTTGACGTTTGCGTCAGGGTTGCTGCAATTTTTGTGCCAGGGTTGCTACATTTTTTCGCCGATTTTTCAATATCGAGTCACCTCCGGGTTGGTTTTAACTAGAGGTGGGCGAACCTGCGATTTTACTGGAACTGTATCAAGACGTGACTGCTCCAATCATGTTACGGTAACAAATAACAGTGACTTGACTGACTGTGCTGGTAATACATATAAGTGGTACATTACATAATCGCAGTTCGCCCAGTTCACAGTCACGGCCGAGAGGAAAGTTCCAGTCTGCCCTCTGCAGTAGCAGTTTCTGTTGTGCGTCACCGCAATGTGATTTATAATAATATTTCATTATTTGCATCACTTTAAGTTGAGTTTAGTCCGCGCTGTATCGGTTAGAGATTGAAGTGGCCGTGACAAAATGTCCCTGCTACTTGAGTGGGACTGGAGCAAGCCGTGACTGTGACAGACGAGTAGCAGTGACAAAGTCACAGTTCGTGAAATCGCAACTCACCTCTATTGCTATTAGGTTTGGTATATCTTAACCTCAAATATAATAGGTCTGTTTCTGCAGAAATCACAGAGTGAATTTCATTGGTTGAAATTAGTTTTTTGACTGTTTTCAACCAATGAAATTCGCTCTGACTGGTTTGTGATTTTTGCAGAAACAGACAATATTTTTCAGATAAGGAAAGATTTCCATAATTCGCCCATAATCCCCCATATTCTCCATCTCAATTTGCTTCATCTTATATATTTCATTGTTGCCTTATATGGCTTTGTTATATTTCAGGTTTGTTGCTTATAGGGACTTTCATACATATTCCAAACAACGAAACACTAGTTCCAGCCCTGGAACTCTGTACGCATTTGATGATGTCATCTGGGGTGCCCTATGGAGATGAGCATTTTGTTGAGGCACCCCAGATGACGTCATCAAGTTACCCATTACCAGACCACCTATTAACAAAGTCTCTATTAACTTAGGACTTTGAAAACAAGGGTGTTGGCGCTTGACAATAATAGGCAGTTTTCTTTGCGCTTAAAATCCTCAATTTGTGACAATCAATGGCTGTCTTTCTTCGTCTTTTTACTTTATATCTTTCTTCTCTCTCGTGTAACGAAATTTGACAAAACGTAACGCGTTTGTCATATGACTCTCGATTTTCGTCCAAATATCAGAAGTTTCTCTTCAAAAACAAAACAAACTGTGAAATTAGAAGTTATAAGATCTATCAGCAGGCATTAGACACTGCGACGTTGCCAAACCGACTTTCGTGATTTCCTAAAACTAAAATGACGTCTGGGCATGAGATCCTTTCTCAACATTACAAGAGCTGTTGTACAACTGAACATACCAACAATTAGGTGAAAAATATTTATTTTTCATAAAAAATTGACAACTTAAATATTCTCCAAAATACTGTTAATATACTATCTACTTAGTTAGTATTCTAGAATTCGAGAAAAAATCACTAAATATTCCGAATATTCCGTTTTGTCCCGAATTTGCTGGACTATTGCGTGGAAAAACTCCATTTCCTAGTCATCGAGCTGTGTTGCAAGATTGTGTACAATTTCCCTCGCAATTTTCTTAACTTGAGAGATTTTCAATACTGTACCCTTTTAGGTGTGTTCGCACAGAAATCACAAACCAGTCTGAACGAATTTCATTGGTTGAAAACATAGTCAGAAAACTAGATTCAATCAATGGAATTCACTAGGAATAGTTTGTGATTTTTGTGCGAACAGACCTTTTTTTGCCCGTAACAACTAAGTTTTCCTGGTGCCTGATTCTCGAAATGAGAGGGGTTTCTACGAGTACAAGTTTTCCATTGAATTTTCTCTTCTCAAGGTTGTATTGAAAAATCTTATCTCAAAGTGATCTGGACCCCTTCAAGTTCTGTCTAATCCAATTTGTAAACTCATTTTGCATACAATTTAAACAGAAAATTCTTTTTCCGGTAAGATTGCTAAGAAGTCTCTACATGGTTGATTCACTAATCCCTATCAGATTGTTACATGTGGAGACTATACATCAGATAGTATTCTTAAAGAAATCTGATGCCCATATAGTCCTGGCTTTGGAATCAAGAACGCTCTTACATTTTACCGGATCAAAGCCTGATGACATTTTTATAATAAACTTATGAATGAAGACGCATACTTTATATGCATACACCACTTACAATTATTGTGAAATTCATGAATGAATTGCTGTCAGATAATAACCCAACTTAAGTTACCTGGGCCGGCCTATGGTTTATGGTCGCTTTATGGTCTCTGACTCTTTTTGCCCTTACCCTGTACTATTAAGGAAAAAGAAACAGATTATAGATATTGCCAAAGATCCCCAAAAAAAGACTTACATATTATTATATTTTAGAAAACATTTAATTCAGGTACCTACCCTCTATGACCCTCTAATCCCAAATAAATGGTTGGGCGCCAAATGTTTGTAATTTTATTATATTATTTGGACCTTCTATTAAAAACCCCAAAGATGTGAATTTCATTTATTATGCTGTATAAAACGTGCCGACCATCCAATATGAGAACCCAAGATATAAACTATATAAAACAGTTGTTCACCATAAACCCCTAAAATTCTTTGATGTATATGTTTTGCCGATATTTATTTAGGGGTTGAACATTTTTAATTTGAAAAAATCGATGCAAAATCAATTCTCTATGAGGTTATAACTCTTTTCAGCGTCTTCCATCATTGTTAGATTATTCCGTATTCCAACCAAGACAGCCGTGCCCTCACCCTTATCAATCGCGATATCCAAGATTCTCAACTCGTGGAAGGTAAGCAAAACTTGTTTAAATTACAAGTTGAGACTAAATTTCTTTTGAAGGTTTAACCGACAATATCCGCAACGTACTGCAGAAAACCAACTGGCATGGACAAGGTAAAGATTTAGTTGGATATTAGTTGAATTTTAATTTAATTTCATTGAAGATTTCCAAGACATAGCAGGCAATCAACGTTAAACAATCAATTGGCATGGACAAGGTAAAGTTTATATTGAATAAAAATTGTTATCTCATTGTTTTATTTATCATATAGAAATCCTCAGGCAAACATTGAAGCAAGTAAGGAGGATAATCAGTCATTAACTTCAGTAGGAGGTGAAAAGAAATTAATGGAAGACGACGAAACATGGTCGCAAATTACCGAACTACTAGATCTTGCTCAAGGAGAAACAACAAAAACTAATTCTATTGCTGAGCCACTAAATAACCCTAATGATTCGGAAAAAGAATTGCTAGTGTCACTCCTAGAACTTCCTGATAGCCAGGAAATTAAAAATATGTCAAGAATTACTCAAAAAAACGAATTATTTGGATCAGATTCCTCTGACGAGGAGGAATCTATTGCGGCGGTTCAGCAACATATTAAAAATTTTCAAATGGACAAAAAGTCTAACTTTCTTGATTGTGGCAGATCTACTCCGAAACCCAATAGTGATAAATTACCTACCAAAAAAAGTGACAAATCTACTCCGAGTAATAAATTGCCTGCCAAAGATAATGACAAATCTATTACTAGCAGGGATAAATTGCCCAAGGAAAATCCGAGTAACCCAAAGACAAATGGACAATTGAAGGATCTCAGTCAGTCTAAGTCGAAACAATCCGATAAGAAAATTATTATCAAATTATCCCAGGCAACTTCTAGCACGCCGATTAAATGGCGAATTCCTTTAAAGTCGGCTAAAGATGCAAGTCAATCCAAATCTGTTGCTTTGTCATCTAAGGACAAGTCTTCAAAAGATTCCACTTTTTCGTCTAATAATAAAAAATCTGTTGCTTTGTCACAAAAGGACAAAGATGCAAAATCATCTACGAAAAAAAATCAGTCCAATGGTGCAACAACTTCGTCAAACAAGGAAAAAACTACTAATTCTACAAAAAAAAGAAGCAGCCCGGTTGAGAAAGATGAAGGGAACAAAAAAATCCCGAAATTGGTTCTAAAACCTCGAAAACGCTTGTTGTCAACTGACAAAAACCGAAATCTCGCATCGTATTACTACAAAAAACGAAAATCTACAGACAATAAGAGTGAACCTTCAAAGGTCCGCAAATTACATTTCAAACGAATATATCCTCCGTTGAGTTTTAGCCGCGTAACCGAAATCCCGAGTAGCCAGGAAGAAATGTGTAGCCCTTTATTTCGAAACGATTTTTTAGAGTTTGCCTCCTGGCAAACACAAGAACTCTATTTGCATCGAGCTTCAGTTTCCCATCCCCTCCAAATATTCAACGACTCTGAAATTGAAAAAAATATTGATCCGGACTCGGTCGAGGTAAAAAGGGAAAATCTTAAAAGCGAAATTGATGATGATATTCAATATGTAAGTACGTATCCAAATCCAGATGCCTCAAGTTCAACCAAAAATATAAAGACTGACCCAATAGATGTTGCCAATATTATAAATATTGATGATGATGACAATGTTGCATCAAGAAATATGTCAATAAAGACAGACCAATCAATCGTCATTGACGTTAACGCAGTTGCAAACAACACTGATAATAAAAACATTACTAAAGAAGAAATTGAATACATGGTTAAGACAATTGCAGATACAGTTTTGCATAAGGTGTTCGAGAATCGACGCCCTAGTACAGATGATGTCATAGTGCCAAAACCACCACCACCTCCACCTCCAATGCCAAATATACCAACTTTTAGGCCAAGATTCTCAGTAAAATCCGCCTCAAACTTGTTTCCAATCTGGAAACCGGCACTTGGCAGACTGACAAGACCGAGTTGTTTTTTACGAAAAACGCCATCTTTATTGTTAAGAGCAACTTCTCAACAAAAAAGCAATCCAGTTACTACTCTAGTGGCACCAACAATATCACATCAGAATCAAAATGAAAATATAATGGCATCTACAATTTACAATATACCAAGTGCTGATTTTACAAAACTAGTCGAACTATTCGCTTCGTATATAAGCCAAATGCCGCAAAGTAGCGGTCGTTCCAATTTGGCCAACCAATCATGGAAATCAAAAGACTGTCAGCTTTCAATCAGACTGTGGGAGGACCTTAACCGTTTACCAATAAAAAACCTAACAAACCTAGACGAGGCTGTTGCCTATATCATAGAAAAAGTATACGAAATTCTACGTACATCTTCAAACATTTTAAATCAATTTACAAGTAAAGACCTGCTATTTAAATCAATGTACCGTTTATTTAGAGCTGACTTAAACATCTATGACTCAATACCAATAACAAAAACATTAAAAGACCGCTGCGTTGCCGAATTATACATAGCAAAAGGCAAAGATATGATGAAAAATTTACAAGGAACATTCACAAATGACAACTTATCAATATTAAAACGGCAAATAGAATTTCACAATTCCACAAACCTCTGGATTTGGAACTATCAAAATCAACAAAACCGTGAAGTAACTATTAGGGCTCCGTTATATGTGCACCCCAATGCGGCTCGGCCACAACAATATACAAGCCCAGTGAGTTTGAATGCAACTGATCAACAAGTTGAAGATGATCCGTTTTTTGACAGCTTTTTGACGGATGATGCAACGAGGATTGATAATTTTATATTTGCTGAGCCGGTGGAGCCTAATGAACGGGATGGAGATAATAATGTAAGTATTTATGATGATTTATGCATTAAAGTTTTTTATTCAAATTATTAATTTGGTTAACCTATGCCTGCTGGGTATTTGTTACTGTATCAAAAAAGGACCCTGAACTAATTTTATGGAAAATAGCTTTTGGTGAAACCGTCTAAAAAAATCCAAAGAGCCACTTTCGAGTTTTGACATGTTAAAAGATATAAGGTGCAATGTACTTGTCAAATAAATATGTTGGAATGAGATTCATGATCAATTGCGTATATGGTCGGCACATAAAGGTAGTCATTTCCGCGCTTTGCGTCAATCTTATTGTAGGCATGAGAGCCCTATAGTTTGGTGAAACCCGCATTGATTGTAGCTTCCCCCAACGAGTATATACTTGATATACAAGGGTCGTATTTCTCTGACTAACGTAACAACCATGTAACATAGTTGTGTAATGAATAGAACCATAGAATAAGAATAGAACTTTCGAATGATACCAAAATATTACTCCATAGATGACAATAACATATAAAACATAAAGGCTATTGTGTGTTTATTTGTACTGCCTATTTTGTTTCAAGCTGATCTCAGCATTTTCACAACATTCTCCCCTTCTTTTAATGTATAGCGGAAATCGACGATCTCTATTCGGACGTGTCTCTATATCGTATGCTGTTGAAGGAAAAGTTTGAGCGTTACTATATGAGGGAGTCAGTAGCGGCTGATTCATTTCTATTTCATTTTGATTTGATTGAAGATGATCTGCTATTGACTGAACTGGTTTAGGTATATTTAATTGAGTTTGAATGGTTATAGGTAGGTATTTCTTTCCCATTTTTCAGTCTGACAAATGAATAATGCAGATTTGATTCTATCAGCTCAACTTCCTCAACTAAAGAGTCATATTTGCTTGTACGAATTTCTAAGTCCTTCACTGACTGCTTATGAAAACCCAATAATTACCTATTTGTTTATCAATATAGGTATTACTAACTTAATCTTATAAAACCTTACAATAATTTCTACTTGAAAAATAAAAATCCTAATTCAAAATTCATTTCATGAACAACAATTTCCGAATATTTTAAGACAATTCTATTTCATGAACATCAAGTTTCTTTTCAAAATTTCCTATTGCAGTTAATAGTTTATCAGAATAAATTCTATTTTCGGATTCCTATGCCTAGCTAATAAACCCAACTGTTTAATTCATAATCCCCACTCAAAATAGTCAAAATTGTATATTGGTAAGTGCATTATAAATTCCCTTCATATTTTTGGTGCAAAATTAAATTAGAATGTCATTATATCTGAAGGCAATTGAAAGTTATGCAATAATGTTCCATTTTCAAAACACTCGAGTTATTGATATTTATGCAATAATATAAATATTAAGTCAAAAGTTTTTCTAGTAAAAATCACTCAAGTTTTTAGGCATTAAAAGTCATTGTTATTAATTCACTTCTTATCATTGAGAAAAGTCAGAAAATTATTAAACACTAAAGTAGGTACTTACATTTTACTTTGCACACGTAAAATTACTTAATTAATTACTCAAAATTTTTAGCTAGCACGCACATAAATGTTGACGAATTTAATTGTTCTTTCTTTCAAAATTTTTCCGCTACTTTTTCAAAGACTGTTACGGAGGCAGTACAAGAAACTTTCCGGACTGACACTTTAGGTACTGTAGATTTTAAGTCAAACTGAACAGGACTGCGAACTCATCTCTCAACTGACAACTAACAACTGCCTTCCTCTTCTAAAACCGCGGTATTTATATTAAATCGATCCCCCCAATTTTCTCTGTCCATGACAATCAAGATGATGCAATTTCCTTGAGATTTTTATCATTTTTAGTCTAAAAAATCGAATAATTATGTCGCAATATCCTGATTTATCGAGGTCAAAACATTATTGGTTCAAGAATGCCATAAATCATTCGATTTAATTAGGTACGCGATGGCCTTGCTTAAAAAGTTCATTGATCGGATGTTGGATGACATCGCGCTGGGTATCGAAATACATTAGCGTTAATTTGTTTCATTTTAATTTATCGATACTGATTTAGAAATACCGGAAATTCAGTTTTTGATTGTTTGATTAAATTTAATTTTTACATTAAAGACATTGTAATTATCGGGTCTAATTTCTGGATCATTACACGAGTATTCATCGATGACTGAAAAGTTGGCAATCGTTCTCCTAATTTCTTCAACTGAATACGATAGATTTTTGCCACGAACTAAATGAATCATTCTCGTGACACCTGGGTCCGGATTATCGTCTCGTCTGATGGAGCAGAGCTCCCCAATAGAACGAATGTTTTGTCTTTGTCAACGTAATTGAAAAGTAAACAAGAATGATAAAGACGAAAAATTTGTTCTCTCGGGGAGCTCTATTCGCTGAGACGAGAATCAGCTCCCTGCTGGATGACATAAACTGTAGTGCAGATTTAACCACAAACCACGATTTAATAGTTTCAAGTCTTTCAGTTTTAGGAATCAGGGTTTGATTTGTTGATTTTCAATTTCATGTCATAGGAGATTTATTTTTCTCAGTCCGTACTTTAATTTACTAGAGTTTATACTTTTTAGCAACTTTAAAGAATTTTTAAATATTTTTGTCATACTCTTCTTGAGACTTAAGCCGGCTACACACGGTCCGGCGGGCCTGTCAGTTCGAACTGAACAGTCCGACTGAAGACCGGTCGCCTGAACGTGTATATATTTCGGTCGATCTGTTGGCTAAGACTATTCAGGTGGCCGGAGAAAAATTAAAAATATATCCGTTCATCCGGCCGGCCTGACGTATTGAAAGGCGAGTCTGAACGTGTATATGATGGTGCGGTCCGTTTGTCGGGCTGTTGGGCTGTCACTGCTATCAGAGCTGCTTTCTTTTCAGGGTCTTGGACACCCCAGGGTGCCCTAGATCATTATTTTGAAATGTAAAGAACCGTTCTTTTTAATCGGGACGCCAAGCCCCGTTCTTTTCGGAGCGTGCGCTAACGCGCCCCAGGGCGTTTAAGCCTGGGGTTTCAAAGCTCTGAAAAGAAAGCAACTCAGTTCAGATATTTTCAGTAGTGAGTAGTGAGCTTACGCCATGTCGCGCGAAATAGTAAACAGGTGTTTGCAGTCAGCCTTTCGTGAGGTGGGATGCTTCCCCCGTTATTTATTTTTTTTATTTCCATTAAAGGAGCTACCAATGATAAAAGCTGCAGACAGATAATATGTATCTTCATCCATACGCAGATAATTGTGTCAATCCTTTGAAGCCAACTTCAATTTATTCAGAAAATTCACATGAGAGAATACGCGCCTTTTTTAACCATTCTTTACCCCATATTGCACGTTTCTTCAGAAGAGGCCATGATGAATGAGACTGAAGAATATTTCTGATTCGCCTGAACATTTGGAGGGTCATCAGTCCATCCGGCAACCGGCCTTCAGGTGAACTGTTTAGTTCGAACTGACAGGCCTGCCGTGTGTAACCGGCTTTACCATCTACTGTGATATCATCAAGATACAGATCGTTCCATGAGGGTTCATACTTTTGACATTGAACACGTCATAATTTGAAAAAAAGGATTGTCGTAGATTAATGCATATGACACGTTCAATTTTTTTGACAAATTAAAATGAATGACTTCTGAATAAGAACTAACGATTTTGACGTCATTGATTTGTTTTAGTCAATTTCTATTTGTGCAATAATAGTTATTTATGATATAAGTGTTAAAAGTACATTTTTAAGGCACGCATGTGAAAGTTTGCAGAATGAGCGAAGCGAATTCTGCAATTCACATAAGTGCCTTAAAAATACTTTTAACACAAATATCATACAATATTTTTTCTACAAACGGCAATAACAAGCAATAACCAGTGACAAATTGGATTTTTAAATGAATAATAAATTGGAAGCATCTTTCCTACGTAAAATTATTGAATTTGATATTTGTCAAAAAATTCAAACAACCAGCACCTTGTTTTACAGGTAATAAAATGTCATGTCAGTTTCTTGAAAGTCTGTCGTATGGTCTATCGTGGTCAGTAAGCTTTTTGCTAAAAATGCAACAAAATACACAAGAAAAAGAGGGTTGCATCGATCCCTTGAAAAATATAGAGAAGGCGGCCGATGGAGCTTCCTCAGTTGTTCAAATTTTACCATTAATATTAATGTAAATAATTAAAAATACAAACTTTTTTTGACGTTTGCTTTCAAATTTTGATGTTTCATTTTTAACACTAGTGCCTTAAAGACTTTTAACACTAGTGCAATAAAGTAACATTTTTAATGCTTCGAGGGGGTGTTAAAAATTGCATTTTTAACACGTTTGTAGAAAAAAACACATATAGTCAAATTTTTAGGTTTATTAGCTTAGTAACAAATTATTTTCAAGAGCAAAAAAAGTGGTTGGCGTCGTTGGCGACCGTCTCGAGTGCTCTCATTGGTTCAAAAGCAGAATGCTGGTTGGCGGAAGGCTGGCTGACAGATGACCTTATCTTTTTAAAATGACAGCGGAACAGCGTTGCCAGTGCTAATTTCGAATGGAGTAGCATGGAACAGTCGGAACATGAACCTTGAACGGAGTATTACGGAACAGTCGGAACACTATTTGTTAAAAAAGGAAGGTAAAAAGTATGAACCCTCGTGAAACAAAGTTCAAGCATATGTGCCTTGTGGTAATATGCGTCTAGTTCAGTTGATTACCATTCGTCTCTTATGATTCACTGAAAATGACTAAGAAAGTCAAAGTCAAAATTTCGAAATTTGAAGATAGCCATTTTAAAGAAGGGTCCCACAACCAATTTTTTTTTTGGAAGCCGTTCAGTATTTTTATGTTTTTAATAAAGGTTCTGGTACAAATAAGGCAATACGAAATACTTTGAAGCTTCTATTTCCTAGCTCAAATCAAAACTGACCATAGTTATTTGTCATCTGCTTGATAAAAGATTCCTCCACCTTTTCAAACATCCAAAGTCCAATCTATCATGGATATGTTCATACAAATACACTACATTCCTCCCTACTAATCTGTTAACTACACTATAACAATCAAAACTTAAACCTAAGAC